CCACTCGTCTGCAAAGAGTTCCAAGAGGACCAAGACGCGCATCAGTCCTAGCTACTCCCGTCCACGGCAGAGGGCCCGGGTGCCGGGCGCGGAACCGGCTGGCCAAAGGTCTTCGGGGACTTAAATGGCTGCAAGGGAAAGGCCAGGAAAGTTCAGTCTGAGGAAGGAAGGAATTTACCGAAGGCCGTGCGTAAATATGGGGAGAAGAGGAGGGGGGGAGAAAAGAGGGGGTGCATCCGAAGGTCACTGTCGACTGTAACAAAGCTACACGGGTTGACAAAAGGCTCCGGATGCATCATTCCAAATCGAAGCGTGCCGGTTCCTTAAAAGCAAGCAAGCAGGCAGGCAGGCAAGCAAGCAAGCAAGCGAGCGCACGAACAGCAGCTTCAGACCCCGAGACTGACCCAGCCGCGCTGCAAGAGTCCTGTGGGTCCAGCAAGGAGCATCTTCCTGGAGCATCTTTCCCTAGGCCAAGCCAGCCTTCTCTCTCCCCGCCTGACCCTATGCTCTGATTTGGCCTGGCGAGAAAAAGTGAGCCTCACCACCACTCTTAGCCCAAAGTACTTTGCCAGTAAGGCTGAAGTGCTATGTAGGCATAAACTCCGCTGCATCCAGGGCGATTTAACTTGGAGGAGGCAGCCAGAGGAGCGCAGCGCCTAGGCTAGGCCGCTCACCTCCGATCTGGAGGAAGAAACCGCGCCTGACAATCTGCGAGTGAAACCTTTTCTGTTATCCTAACCATTATTCTTACAGTTCCTCTCACACTGGAATACTTTCCCCTACGGCTAGCATATTTTTCTTCCTATCAGGTTCTAGAGTTAAAGGAAATTTAAACTAAACAAATACGTATAAAAAATTGGAAATATTCAGCACACACAAGGTTAACTATATCTCCTACCAGCCTGTCAGAAAGTATTTTGGGGGAAAAACTGAATACAAGTCACCTAAATTACAATAGTATTACATATTAAATGTTATGTTTGCCGAGCATGATGACCATGGAAGTGATGAAATCTTCAGAAGTTCACAGTGAAACCTTTAAGGAAAACATAATTACACCTTATTATGAAAATCCAACATTCTGTTCTTTGCCATACTGTGTGACGGGGAGGGGCAGGAGGGGAAGAAGGCGTCTATAGGGCCTCTGACGGGAGGCAGTGGTACATGAAACAGAAGGCTGGAGCCTGGGCTGGGGGAGCTGGAGGGGGCGGTGAGGAGCGTATGCTCCAAAAAGAAGACGCAAGCGTGCCAGCCTTCCAGGTAAATGAAGCATTTGCGAGGAGGCCTGTCTTTCTCATTTATATACCGCGTTCTGCACCCTGGCGATGGCACTCGAGGAAGCGGCGTACAACCACGATCAAAACAAAAGCAATCACAGTCGCTGGCATATCAAACAACACTCCCTCGCTCCCCCTCCCATCCGGGGAAAGCGAGCGGCTCCGGCAGCCCGTGGCAGCGAGGCTGCGGCGTGACACCCGGGCGCCCGCTTGCACCTTGGAGGTGGCGCGCACGCAGGCAGGGAAACACTCCGCCGCCCCACCTTTTCCCGAGAAATGCTTATCCACTAAGTTTACCTAATTAATGCTTATTAGCCGGCGGGGGGGGGGACCCTCCTAGGTCTTTGATTAAGCTTGCAATTATGGAGCCGCTCCGGCTTCTGTGTACCGCATCGCCTGCACTTCTATCCCCACTTGTGCATCCATAAAGAGAAGGAGAAAGAGAGACGGTTCGCACCCCCCTGCTTTTGTTTTGGGGGTTGTTTGGCCGCTGCTACTGCCCCCGCCACAGAAATAGCGGGTTTGATCCCCGCAACACGCAGCCCATGGCAAGTGTTAAAGAGTCCATCGGCCCGTCGTCAGCTGTCCTAGCAGACGCCTTCTCCTCCCGCTTGCTCGGCTCTGGCCAAAGATACGGAACTGGGACTCCATGTTGGAAGCGGGCACAGATTTGCTGTGCTTTATTTATTTTGGATCACCGGAAGTCTGCAGATTAACCTGTTTGCTTAACTTCATGCTCTCGCTTAGATCAGCATGACTTGAATTCTCTTTCTCCCTCTCCCCGGACCTCCCCCGAAACAGTTTCAAGTTGTTGTCCGGCAAGCCAGCTATGCAAACTAGCCCAAGGAGACGAAGGGCTGGTTCGCCTTTACAATTCTGCAAATCACCTTTTGGGGAGAGTAAAGGGAACCTTGAATGGTTGCTTTTCCCTTTCTCTGCCCCCATACCCTTTCCTCCGCCGCTGGCAGGTTTCCCCATCTCCATTCTCAGTCTTTTTATTTCATTTTATATCAAAAATATTAACTTTTTCAACAGCGCCGCTTTCCCCACTTATCAACAGTCGCCTTTGCTCCTATCGCTCTCCGACCTATCTTTCCTTTTCTTTTCCTCTTGTATCCCCCCCCCCTTCTTTTTCGGCGGGGGAGGAAAGGTTTCCTCTTTAAAGCGTTTGGCGATAGCATCTCCAGAAAAGAGATTATTTTTCATCCCCCATTGTCAGAAGGAGCCGGCTTATTGCATTACGGCCGAACCCTTTGCAGACTAGACAATTGTAACAAATGAACAACTTGTCCTCTACGGACTCTCTGCGGGATCCAATTAGCCAGGAAACCCTCTGCAGAAGTTTTTCAGTGATTTGCAAGAATTGTTGCTTTTCTTCTCGAAATTATTCCCAAAACTGAATGCATTTTGCTCTCCCCACCCCCACCTCTCTCTCTCTCATTCTCTCTCTCTCTCTCACACACACACACGCGCGCGCCCACTTTTTAGTCCAAAGAGATCTACTCAAAGCAAAGGATCGATCAGCGCCTTCCGCCAATTTCAGACTACTGGACTTCAGTTAAAGAGCTGCAGAGGACACGAAGCGTCTGGCCACATCAAAGAGGTTAATTTCAGTAGAGACCACGTCGATTCAGGTTATATTCTGCCCAGAGCCGATGACATCACTGCACCACTACTTCCCTTCCCCCACCCCAGTAACTCTCCAGTTAGGGTTGTTGTTGTTGTTATTGTTGTTGTTGCTGTTTCTCATGGAAAGGGGTGCAGAGTCAGCACCACCAACAAGGGTGATAGGGAAGAAAGCCTGAAGAAATATTTGCAGCATTACAAGCGCGCACACCGTGCCTTTTCAATCCAGGAGAAAATGAAATGGGGAAGTTGTGTCTGTGTGCACACACAACAGCAGAACTCGAGAAGTAAGTTCGCACGTTCACAGGAGCTGATCAGGTCCTTGCCACCCAAATGCTGAACCCTGCAGCGGGATCCCAAGCAAGTCAACTCAGAACTAGGCCCCACTGAGCCAGCTTTCAGTAGGACTTACTTCCGGGAAAGTATAGGATTACTGTGTCCCATTGAAGTCAATGCGATTTCCTTTCAAGTAAGCACGATCAGATTGTTGGACGCTGTAACTTTAAAAGAGAGCAGCCAAGACTGGGCTGTAGCCACGGTTGTGTGCAAATAACTATTCAAAATAAAACAACATTGCCATCACAACTAACCTTTTCCAGAAAACCAGCTTAAGTTAAACACAACAGCACTTCACATAAACTATGAAAAATCCTTCCTTACGGCTGTATAAGTGGGCTTGTTTTTAAAAGCAACCTGTGCAAAAGAGTTAATTAAAATTTTAGCACTATCTTATGAGGACTGATTCTGAAAAGGGAAGTAAATGGGAAGTCCTGCAGTCCCTTTAAAAATTAAAAATCTATGTTTTTCATCAGGATTACAGAAAATAAGACGGAACTGGAGGAAAAATTAAGGCATAACCTTATCAATCCATTTCAGTTTACTACAGTTTTGAAAGTTCTTAGATGTAAAAAAAAGTCTTGATAAAAGAGACAAAAGAACTATCAAGTATATATGAATTTAGCCTATTTTTTATTTCTGTGTGTTCATAGTAAACATTTTTTGTAAGTGACAAACACGGGCATATGACCACAGTATCACAATCAAGAGTTTTTTTTAAGACGACATTAACAATCACTCAAATTTATGCGGCATTTGCGCAACACAGGTTACATATTTGCAAGGTTTACCTATAAGTACAATAGGTATTAACATTTCACTACATTAAAAAAAATAAAGGTGACCTGTTAGTGACCACATACATCAAAATATACACAACACAAACTGAAGGCAATTCATGATTTTTTGTCCCCTCGGATTCATCGGAATGGGCAGTGCTGGAAAACTGAAAGAATCTCATTCTGATTTTATTTTGTTTTATTTCAAAGAAAAAAAACATTTCATACACTGAGTGCATTTTCTAAAACCCAATCTTTGGTCTAAAAGTAAACAAAAGGAAAACAAAAATGGGGCAGGTAGAAAAAATGGTCTCTTTAAAAAAAGTGGAGGACAAAAGAATCCATGGCCAATATGTCATTCTTGGGCTTCTTTGCCTAATCGTTTTGCTTTCATACAAATGACAATTTGCATCACGGCGTTCATCAATTTTGCATTTTTATTTTTAATTTTCATTTTCATCGTCTGCACCTACCAACATATCCATGATAAGTTATAATACTGCAAACATGGAACATCTGGCAGCTGGGGCTGCACCTCGGAGTCAAAATGGGAAAAAAAGCAGTCACTATTTTCGATACAAGCTCTACCGGATTTTCCTCCTGTTTCTTTTGGCTCCCCAACGGTCTGTCTACAAGGCAACCCCATCATTTGCACACTGCTGACTCGCCTCACTTTATCGGAGTAATAAACGATCCTAAAGACTGAACGAACGTACAGAAAATGGGGGAGAGGGGGGAACTTAATAAAAAATACCTGGACTTTTTCCTGGGTGAGTTTTTTTCCTTTCTTTATGGTTTGTTCTGCTAAAGCGTGGCTCTCTCGCTCGCTCGCTCGCTCTCGCTCTCTCTCGCTCGCTCTCTCGCTCGCTCGCGCTCTCTCTCTCTCTCTCTCTCGCTCGCTCGCTCGCTCGCTCTCCCTTCCCCATGTACAATGCAAAGGTGTGTAAAATGTTCACTTACAGTCTCTCGACTCTCCCGGAGGTTAATGTATTAACGGGTTGGAGGAAGAGCCCTGATTCTGGTGCGTGAAATAATCGGAAAGTCCCCCGGAGAGCCCCGCGGTGAAGCTGGGCAGCGACGGTCTCAAGGACTCGCACGGGAGGGTGGCGGGCGCCTGCGGGGAGCTGGAGGACGAGGCGGCGCGGCCCGCCATCGCCGAGCTGCTCTGCGAGGTCATGGACGGGTGGGGCACGTGGGGGAAAAAGTAACTGGTCTGCCCGGCCGCCAGCAGGTTGACGGAGCAGGGGTTGAGCGAGTAGGTGCCGGAGCAGGGCACGGACAGGCCGCAGGGCACGGAGGCGGCCAGCGCGGCGGCCGTGAGGTGGTGCGTGGCGTAGGGCAGCTCGCCGTTGACCAGTCTGTCGACGCTCAGCCCGTTGGAGGCGGAGAAGGAGGCGTTGTTGCCCAGCGAGTTCTGCGCCAGCACCGAGCTGTAGGGCATCGGGTGGCTCGGGTAGGCCGAGGCGGCGCCGTTGTAGCCCAGCGAGCCGCCGGCGCGCGGGTGGTGCAGCGACAGGAAGGGCGACATGGGCCAGTAGAGCGAGCCGGCGCGGTCCATGAAGGTCAGGCCGGTGGAGGTGAGCCGCGCGCCGCGCTTGAAGGCCAGCTTGGCCCGCGACGTGGTGGAGCGGCGGCGCAGCTTGCCCGTGGTGCCGCCGATGAAGACGTCGTCGCTGGACGGGTCCAGCATCCAGTAGTTGCCCTTGCCCGGGTCGTCGTAGTGGCGCGGCACCTTCACGAAGCACTTGTTGAGCGACAGGTTGTGGCGGATCGAGTTCTGCCAGCCCTGCTTGTTCTCCCGGTAGTAGGGGAAGTTCTTCATGATGAACTCGTAGATGCCGTTCAGCGTCAGCCGCTTCTCCGGGCTCTGCCGGATGGCCATCATGATCAGCGCGTTGTAGCTGAAGGGCGGCTTCTCGTACTTGCCGTTCTTCTTCTCGCCTTCCTTGCCCCCGCCGTCGCCGCCGCCGCCGTCCTTGGCTCCCTCCGACGCCCCCTTCTTCTCCTCCGACGGCCCCTTCTCCTTGTCGTCCAGCTCGGCGGCCGCGCCGGCCTCCCCCTTGCCGGCCAGCAGGTCCCCCTTGGCCACCTCCATGGGGCCGGCCGTGGCGGGCGTCCCGGCGGCGGCGGCGGCCACGGCCACGCCGACCCCCACCCCGGGGGGCTGCAGCAGCAGCTGGCTCTTCTCGTCGTCGTCGTCGTCCTCGGCCGGGGTGGCTCGCTGGGGCTGGGGCGGCTGCGGCTGCTGCTGCTGGGCTGGGTGGTGGTGGTGGTGGTGATGGTGGTGGTGGTGGTGGTGCGGGTGGTGGTTGTTGTGGTGGTGGTGGCCGTGATTGTTGTCGCTCTGGACGGCTTCGGGCACCAGGCTGTTGATGCTAAAGGACGACTTGGGCAGCATTTTCACTTCCTTCCTATCGCCCATGTCCAACATCACACTCTAGGCAGAGGGCGAAAGTTGCACGGCCGGCAGGAAGAGGAGGAGGAGGAGGAGGCGGAGGGGGGGGCGCTGCTCGGTCCGTCTTGGAGGTTGCAGCTTTGGGCAGCAGCGAGGCGGCGGGAGCAGCAGCAGCAGCAGCAGCAGCAGCCGGGCACTTGCTCCACAAGCTCCACGGCTTTGCAAGGCATGTAGCAAGGACGGGCAGCAGCCGGGAAAGGGATGGAAAAAAGACAAGAGGGGACCAGCACGGAACGGCAAGCCAAGGCAATGGAAGGGGGGAAAGGGCCCCCCCAAAAATGGTCCAAAAGGAGGGGAAGGGGCTTTTTCCAAAGGGGAGGAAAATATGGTCGCCCCCCCAAAAATAAAAAGGAACCCCGAGTCGCTCTGTCCAAACTACTTCATGTTGCCTGGAACCCCCCTATTCCACCCGAGCAAGGGAGGGGGGATCAGCAGCCGGGGCTGTGGATCAGAGCAGCGGAGACAGCTTTAGCTACAATTAATTTCAGAGCTACAGACACACACTAGGGCTGTAAAAAAAAATTTGGTTTAACCTTTCCCACCGGTTGTCCAATCAGAGCGTTCGGCGTACAGGGACGTCTCCCTTCCGGGTGCCCAATCAGCAGCGCGTTTTCTCCTCCTCTTCCCCTCGCGCTTTCTCCGGCCTCCTTCCTTTCACCCTTCCCAGCCAGACCGAGGAGCGCAGGGATACCAAAGCAGGCGGGCGCATCACCGCGGCAGGTTACCTTGACCCCCCCCCCCCCGCCGGCCTTCCTCTCCTCTTCCTGGCGACGCCCCCTCCCCATGCACAAACCGGGATCCTCTTTAAAACCGGTCTGCTGCTCCCGAAGTCAACTGTGTTGAGACAGACGCGCACAAGCACCCGCACCCTCTCCTTGCATGTGTAGTTATTTTCCCCGCTGGGAGCTCCGAGGGGGAAATGGTGGCGGAACCAGCCGCGGCGTCTTGGCCAGGCGGGGCTGGGCTGGGCTGGGCAGGCCTCTCCCGCCCGGCCTCTCGCAAGGCTGGGGTCCCCCGCTGCCCGAAAGTGGATGCAGCGCGGCGGTGGCGGGGGGGGGGGGTGGTGCGTGCCGGCGGCAGGGCAGTAAGAGGGCTGCGATCCACTGGGTGGGTTGCGTATTCTCGCTGGGTTGCATCCGCCGTACCGGAAGAGGGAGGCTGTCTTGGCGGGGGGTGGGGGTGGGGGTGGGGGGAGGACTGACTTATGGCGCCGGAGGCCTTCGCTCCCGGCGTCCTCCTGCCTTGGCAACGGAACTATGGATGGACTCCCAAAAAGGAAGGGGAGCGACCTCCGGTGAACCCCGGGCGGTTCTGAATACTGGCAGATGAGCGGGCTTCTCTCTCTGCCGGTGCGGGAGTGGCAGTGAAGGGGTTAAAAGACCACACTCTCTTTATTTCAAACCAAATAAATGAGCGCAAGGTAACCGATCTCCGCTTCTCTTCCCGGTGCCTTTCCCACCCTTCCTGCCAACCAACCGCTCGAATCGCCTCCCCTGTGCTGTGATTTCCTCTCCGCATTCCGCTGCTCCGTCCCCCGTGCGTGCGGCGCTGGGAAGCGGCAGGCCCCCTTCCCCGCAAAAGGGTGGCGGTTCTCGGCCTCCGTTTCAAAACCGGCCCGAGAAAATGGACCCATCCACGCCTGGGCTGCTTCCACTGCGGAAAATATTTTCTGCGCAGGCGGATCCCAATGCATGCTTGCCGGGAAGTAAGACCACTTTTGTTCCGTGCGCAATGTGCAGAAGTTTGCAGATATCAGAGGTTGCTAATGCCAGGCAGAGAAGTAGCTGTGTTTTCAGCTAGCAAAACTCTATCCGCCTTTTCGCCACGGAAATGGGAAATTATCTTTGCCACATGTTCCGTATCGAGGTCCGCGTCCTTTTCCTCCTTCCCCGTACACTTTATGTTTGGAGGTTGCTTTCCTGGGGGAGGGGGCTGCTGGCGGAGGGAGAAGGCTGAGTGGATAAACGCGCCGCTTTTGTCGGACCGTCGCCCAGGACGCCGCCTAAGCTAGAACGAAGGGAAAGAGAGGAGCCTCCGGCGAGGATTTCCTTGGGAGGCACTTCGGGCTTCAGCATCGCGATCAAATCTCCCGTTTTCCACCTGCATGAGATGCGCAGCCTTCCTCGGGGTCGGGGGGCAAGGGGGGGGGGGAATCAGAAAGCCGAATGGCAGCCCTGGGGAGGGGTGGGTGAATCAGGGTTACAGCCAGCCTGTCATCGCTTGAGCCGCATCGGTACCTTTTCGACCCGTACAGATAAAAGTTGTGCGGCGGAAGAATGGCGACTCGGGAACTAAAGCAGCAGCGGGAATAAAGTGCAAAGATCGCTTTTCATCAACGCCAACGAAGTTTTCCGATGGGGGAAAAAAATCGATCAAAACTTTAAGGGAGGCGGTGGGGGGGAGGAGAAGAGCTGCTATTGGGGAATGCCACGAACAACATGGGTTGCGATAACCTCGATTGACCTTGCTTCGCAAAAGGCCTGTGCTGGCGGAATGGAGTGAGAGAGAGAAAGGCGGCCAGAAGGGACAAGTGCCCCTCCCCCACCTCCCCTCCCCCCAGTAAGATTTTGCACTTTTCCCAAAATATTTTTACTAGGTCATTTGATCGATAAAGGCTATGGTGACGTTCACTCCTGCAGTCCGAAGCGTGGGAAATCTTGCTCACACTTCTTGTAAGGTTCGGGCACCGTAGAAGGCGGTTGCTGTTAATGTTGTGGTTGTCGTTGTTGTCGTCTCTTCGTCCCTTTATGGGAGCTGGCCCACTTGTTCTCTGTTACGAATCGCATTCTCCTCCCCGAACTCGGATTTCGGAGAAAGGATAACGTAGGTAAACATTTACTGATGTAGCGCAACGATACTATATGGTATGCAGGAAGGAAAGTGTTGATTAACACAGAAGGGGGAAAAAAGCGAAATTAGCTGATTGCATGCTCATAAGTGCAAGCTGTCATTGAACTGCTTTTAAAATAGACACAGCTGGGTGTTTGTGTTGCAAAAATTCTTGTGTTTTTGCTAATACTGAAATAAGCATGATTTTGTATACCAAACATTTTCGGATCATTAAAATTTGTAATCTGCTCTGGTTGTGAAACACAAAGAGAAGCAACCGATTCCTTTGGCTGTCGAATTTGCTGATATGATATTAACTCAATCAGGTCTTGACAATCGGGGCCATTGTGCCTTATCAAAGCGCTTTGATCCATTTAATACACAAAGTGCCCAACGTGGGCATTGTTTGTTAACATGGAATGGCCCACCTCCGCCCCCCCCCTCCGCCGCCATTCCCACACACAGAGAATCTGCTCTCCAACAGAACGGAAGGGAAAGGTTTGTTTATTGTCACGCTGGCATCGCCTGTTGAAATTTTTATGCTCAGAGGTGTTCCTTTGGTCGGAACTCTTCTTTACAGTGCCTTGGGAACCGGCTTGAGAACGAAGCAACAAACACAACTCGCACAATCAGGCAGCAGTAAACACCCCTCCCGTTCCCTTACTAGCAGTGCCTTGGTCCAAACTTGCAAAGCCCAACCCCCTCCTGCCAAGAGTGGAACCAGCAGAGACCCATAACCCCCACCCCGCCTAGAAAAGTGGTAGGAAATAGGCCGGATCTGAAGCCAGAAGAAAGCAAAAGATGGAATCCAGCGAGGTGAAGTCCGTGGGATGGACTCCTTCGGCTACACCCTGGCTGTGGCTCCGGATCCAGGGAAAGCGTGTCTAGAGGCGCAGGAATAGTACATGCTGGCAGTTCAAAGGATTCCCCATTCCCGTCCCTCGCCTCCCTCCCGCCCCGCGCTGCCACGCCTGCAATGACAGAAGTTGCAATTTCGTGACTTGACTTTCTTTGCACGGAGTCATAGACGAGCGCCTATTACGCCAGGGCTCACGCCAAGGAAGCAACAACTCGAACGTTCAAACAAACCAATAACAATCAACAGCCCCACAAACTAGTGGGAAGGTCCTACGTCACAAGCGCAGTATTAAGAAATATGTTACAACGACCGCTCCCTGGCGAAGAGGAACAAGAATCCCCATTTCGGTCCTGTTCAGAATTGCATATGCATGAAATGAAATGGTGGAACCGCTCAAGTGGTGTCAATAGGCAGGTTGCCTCAAAGGGAAGAGGTGCGTTCATTTCACTGGACGAGGTGAAGAGAATTTGGACACAACCCAGCCAAGGACCCACTGAAGTCCGGGGAACTTGCTCCCGGTCGAGCCTGCCCAGAGCTGCAGCCTAAGTCGTACTGGTTTCCGTGAGGTAGTCGATCCTCTGGTTAAATCTGCCCCATCAAAATTAACGGGACCTAAAGCTCTTTAACTCCGATTGCTCTTTCCTTTCTGGGGGCCCCTGACATGGAGGCGCACACGAGAAATAGGGGTGTGTGTGGAAGAGGGGATGCTTCGCAGATGGCTCTACCAGACAGCCTCGGCTATTGGGCGGCATACAAATGAAATAAATAAATAAATAAAATCTGTCCTATCCCAGATGGAACGCCTGCGCCGCACTCCTACAGCGAGGGCGCTGGGTTCTTGAAGGCCGGAGATGCTGGTCTAAGTAAGAGGCCTGGGGATCTGATGCCCCGGGAGTCCAGGCAAGACTTCCACAAGCCCACCGAGAACCCTTCGAACCCGCAGGTTATTTCAGGCTGTTGCAAACAGAACAATTTCCCTCCAGTCCGAGGAAGAGCTCGTGAGGAAGGGCTCGCTGTGCCCAGAGCGGCGCTGGAGCGCGGCGCCGTTTCTTCTTCTCTTGGAGACACAGCTTCGCTCCCTCAGCTGTCCGCGGTGGCTTTGGGGGAAGCACGGAAGCCTCCCCGCGCCCATAGGATGACGGGTGCGGGCTGCGACGAAGGTGGCAGAGCCTGCTTTTCCATTAAGGAGGCAAGTGAACTGCGCTCTGGTGCCAGCTCCCCGCGCTGGTCCCCCACCCCGTGACCTCCAGGATCGCTCCCCCCCACCCCCGCAGTTATTCTTGGCTCA